TGAATTTTCAGTGGGGGGGGGGCCCTTGGAGGGGACCAGAAAATTTTTGGCCCCCCCGAACCAGGCCCCCCCATAGCTACGCCCCTGGTGTAAACACAGCTGATTTTGTCAAACGATCACACTGTCAAAGACCAAGTTAGGAATGAAAGTTTCTTATGGTTATTGTTGACACGGTTTCCAGTGAACCATACACGGCGTGTCTGGTGTAGCTGTGTGCATCTCCCCGCCTGATACAGCCGAGGCAACGCGTCTACGGCGCCCTCTGTTGACAACACATCGCCTTCGTGTCCAGCTGTTGTTTCGCTTAGCCTTGTCATATCTAACATCTAATCGTCATTGCGCTGTGACGTGTGAGTCAGCACGTGTGCTAACTGACAGTGGCGACACCTGGTGACCGTCTGTGTTGCTTGCGTTTATCCCACAGCTCAGGATCTGAGGAGCCTAACATGGGACTGTGAGTACATCGTCACCCGCCGCCGGTGGCGCCCCCCTCCCTTTTGCGTGCTGGCAGCTCCTAACGGCCATACCTCTCACTTTGCATCCCATCTAACAATTTTTTTTCTGCTGTTGTGTTTCAATCTTGCCCTCGCAGAGCCGTGCTCCGACGTTGGTAAGGTAGATGTTGCTAGTTTGCTCTAGCTAACTCCCGCATGCTTGGGACTGTCGTCTTGGCAACCATACTGCAGCAGGCAGCGGTACCAGCATCCTTAATGTCAGTAATCCGTCGTATCTGTCTGTCGTGCAATAACGCAGCGAGTTGTATGCGCACACATCGACCCATGGACATACATGTATACATACACACTGACGCACACAAACATGCACACACTCACTCATATGTGCACGCATGCACGCACGCATGCATGCAAGTAGAAACATGTGTGCAGGTATGCACATACGCAGACATGCATACATGCACGCATGCGCGCACACCCATGCTTCTTTATGTATGTATTTGCGTTTGTGTTTAATATTTGTGTTTGCTGTAGACAGATTTTAACTCTGGCTAGAGTTTCTCTATCCTTTGATCTGCCTCTGACTTATGACGATTTTCGCTGTATAACCTTTGACCTCTGACTCCTATCCTATCCCATCATCAACCCATCTTTGTCAGTCTCTCACTCTCTCTCTCTCTCTCTGTCTCT